CAAACAATTCTGGACAGAAAACAGAAGAGAATACAGTTGATGTGGTAAAAGACAGCGAGGATCTCCGACCTTTCTCCAAATTCGATGACGTCGAACTGGCTAGAACTAATCCAGCACACGATGTGATTGCCCCATTCGAGGAGAGTAGGCTATCCCCTAGTCCTGACGAAACTCTTACGGGAGCTGTCCGTGCTGTTGCCAAGCGTCCTGAGAACCTTTATTTAGGTTTAACAAGCACAGTGAGTACTTAACGATTTCTTTTAGGCTATTTCTAATAGTTGTTCATTATCATTATTCAAAAGCTTTTACCTAGTATCATTGTTTATGTCAAACGTATGAAGATCAAGATGGTGTGGTAATACGACCGAGTTGTGAAGACAAGGTCAAAGAGCTTGTATTATTATTTATATTTGGCGGCTGTGGATTGAAGTCTGAATAAAGGAAATCTGTTTTGTATATTAACCTAGACACTTCCCCATTAACTTTATTGCTCCTTCACAAAATTATTATTGAGCCTAGGAGTTTTATTCACCCTAGATTGCATTATGTAATAAGGAACGAATAGTTAAATTTTCTTACTAGCAAAATTGTATTTTCGAAGGTATGAAGAACAAGATGGTGTGAACTTTTGTGTGGTCGCAGTCTCCTTTCGTTGTATAGAAGTTGTTTGACTTTTTTTTCGCAACTCGGTCATATTGGTAGGAAGACTTAAAGAAACGCACCTAGTCCGGAGTCCATTGTATGCAGCATTTCGCAACTCGGTCATATTGGTAGGAAGACTTAGAGGAACGCACCTAGTCCGGAGTCCATTGTATGCATAATCATTTTCAAAGTCGGACCATGGACGTGGTACATTCCCAGACGTTTCGCCGGCATCGTAGTCAGCATCGTCAAAGAGGCAAGTGAAGCCGATCCTTTGACCAAACGTGTGCTAAACAGTTGTGGTATCTCCCCTTTTGCCCTGGGCTATTCAAATTTCCAATATCCTATCACGCCTTCACTGTCACAATTTTTTACTTGCTTAATTATATGTAGTAGGGTGTGCCCTTTTGAGCGGCTTTCATGAGAAACCCTCCGCACTTCACGCTGGCCTTCTCACCCCCCTTCATCCTTATGCTGGGAATGTTGATCTGAGTCTGCCATATTGTTACGCAGTCCTCCTTCCTAGGTCTTACCACAGTCTCTCTTTTGCCCCGTAAGATTCGTCTGCTCTCTTCCTGGTTAACATATTTCACTCGAGCCCTGCCACCCCATCTGTGCGTTATTGGCTCTACTCTGCGTCTGGGGCTCAAGCCTCTGAGTAAATGTCATGGTCACGCCTTTGCCACATGGACCACGTCTCTTATACAAACTGCTGTCAGCCCAATAGCTCCCATCGCCGCCGCGTCTATCCTGTTTCTATCTCTAATACTGCTTGCTTTGGTTGGTTCAATGTTGAACTACAACGTTTGTGGGTTGGCACACAAGAGACTGGGGCATGGAAAGTCATAGACTTCGTATTAGAGATAGAAACAGGATAGGCGCAGCGGCGATGAGAGCTAGTGGGCTGGCAGTAGGTTTTATAAGAAACATGGTACATGTGGCAAAGGCCTGACCATGAGACTTATTCACAGGCTTGAGCCTCGAATTAATCACTCAGACACAGGAGAGGGCGAAAAACGCCTCGAGTGGCACAGATGGGGTCGCAGGGGTCGAGTGAACTATGTGAACCAGGGAGAGGGCAGACAGACCTTACGGGGTAAGAGAGAGACTGTGGTAAGACCAAGAGAAGTAGGACTCCTTAAGAATATGGCAGACTGATCAACATTTCCAGCACAAGGATGAAGGGTGGTGAGAAGACCAACGTGGAATGTGGAAGGTTCTCATGAAAGCACACCGTACCACATCTAATTAAACAAGTAAAAAATTGTGACAGTA